TTCCACCTCCCATATTTGCTGTGACAATCTGGTCTCCCTGCTCTACATCGTAGATCTTCTCAGACCACATTATCCACCTATCCCTACCACAATAAGGGCTAGAGAGAGAGAAGAGGAAGGGGCCTGGTTGTCACAGAATGCCTAGTGGATCAATTCCTGACAATTCTTCCCGAAATTAGAAAGTTTGATCTACTATTAAATTTTCCTAAGACAGCAGTGTCTAGATGTAGTCTTCAAACTGATTCATGCATCTCATTGGAGCTCCTCGCTTCCTAGACCCAAGTAGTGCACACAGCCTCAACTTTTGCGCACCTTAAGTGTATACCAAGCCCCACTTTGCTGAATGCCAGAATTTCAGTTGGCAGTAAAGGCTCTGGTATTTACCTATTGATTTCAGCCTGGTTCACCCCTATGCATTTTTCAGTTTTGCAGAAATACACTAGTCAATTTAAAGGTTTCCTATGGGTCACGTTCACATATCTGCATTTCCCCACAGCAGGTTGCTTTTTTTGGTTTCAGAGTGCTTGCTTGTGTTTCTGCTGATTGCTTCTGCAAGACAGACACCTCCAAAAAACAGAAATCGCAAAACAGAAAAAAAAAAAAAAAAAAGCACAAGGAAAACTCATCAACTGCAACCTGCATGTGTGTGAACCAGGCCTTCATCTCAAACTGGGCAGCCTGGACCTCAGATCAAAGAGGTAGCTCCAGAGACTTTAGACCAATCCCCAAGTCCATAACAGTGTTACATTCTGGCTCACACCACAATGTCTCCATTTCAGATGCATTTCTACATGCACATTTTGAGGGTCGGTTCATACCACATATAGTCCAGTGTGTTTTTTTTTTTTTTTTTTTTTTTTATGCATCAAAAACACATGGACAGTAGGTTACATGGATTCTAATGGCAAAGTTCACACTATTGCATGGCATTTGAATACAGTCAACAGAAGTAGAACATGATGTATTTTTTCTGCAAGGAACTGCAGTGGAACGCAGCAAAATGCATCAAAAACACATCAGAACACATCACAGTATATTAAAAAAAAAAAAAACACACACATACCAAGAAAACGTTGGATAAAAAAGCAAGAGTAAACAAAAAAAAAAAAATAAAAAACCCCCACACTGGAATGCATTGAAAACTTATCAAAAACGCATCAAAACTGCACATGCAAAAAAGCATCCGGAATGCATCCAGACTGCGTTTAAGTGGTGAGAACTGGCCCTCAATTCATTTTTCATGTTCCAGTGTTTTTTTCCTCCTTTTTCTTCATCTCAATTAAGCACATTTGCATTCTGGTGCGTTTTGCCACATTCCAGATAAGTTCCATACAGAAAAAATGCAGCAGGTTCTACTTTTGTCAACTGCACTGATGTCAACTAAGGACATTGGGTTCCATGCTAAACACTGTCCATGTTTTTTTGATGCACAATAAAAAAATGCACTGGACTACATCTGGTGTGAACCAGCCCTCAGGTATTACAAGCACTCTAAACATAGAAACATTTGAGGCCAGGCAAGATTCACTGTAAAGCAAAGTGTATATCTGAAAACCTACTGTTAGAGGGTTATTTGGTATAGGGTTATATTTGGTGTAAAAATATAGAGTTTGCAGACTTTGTCCACAAACTGTTTAAGCCCAAAAAATAAAATTATTAAACAAAAAAAAATCTACATCTGGCAGCAGTTAAAAAAAAAAAAAAAAAATTATCTAGTGTGTGCATTTAAGGCAAAACTTTCAAATACAATTCCTCTTCATGATGTCAAACAAAAAAAACAAAAAAAAAAAAAAAAAAAAAAACTTACAGATAAAAGCTGAATTACCTTGTCTGCTTAATACATTCTACATAGAAAAATATGCCATAAAATTATTTACATTCACTCTAAAACATCCAAGTAAATAGAAACATTACAATATTAATATAATATATTCTCTAAAATAAAGATTTGTGCGTAGTCTTGACGTTTGTCCAGTATAGCAGTGAGAATACCATAAATAAATAAAGGAATCTTGGAGAGACTGACTGGGGTCAGTATTTGAGTGAACCTCTCCATAATCATTTATCTATATGCTGCTACAGCAAAACTACTATCCAGCATTGCTGGGCTCCAGTATACTCTACTCCCGCTCCAAGCGTTAAAGTCAAGCTCCACTTTGTGGAGCTTCTATAGATGTTCCACTGCAGAACAATTAAAGGAAACGGATTTTGTTTTTTTTTTTTGTAGTGCAGGGGGGTGCGTTCTTACTCACTGCTCACTCCACCTCCTGTGAATACTTCCCTTAACATCTGAACGGCATTGGCATTTGATCTATACTGCTCAGTATGAAGACCTAGGGAGGAGAGAATAGGAAAGCAGACCTAAAATTGGCAGATACACCTCTTCCTTCCCCTGAAGACTATATACAGACATGCCCTGTATATACGGCACTAAAAAGTGCATACAAGAAACAATACATAATCAAAATTGTTATACTACTGAAAAATAGGCACTCTCGAGCGGTTCTTAAAATTTTAAAAAGGACTTTTCACGTGGTGGGGGGTATTTGTCACAAGGCAACACTACAACGATGGTAAACACTTTTCTTGTTCTCAGTTATGAAAGTTTTAGTGTGGTATTAAAGTGTGACAGCTAAGCACTGTTCAAGCCCTCTCCATGCCTGTAGGTTTGAGAAGATCATGAGTCTTTAGCAGTGGTCTCCAAACTGTGGCTCTTTGCCAGCCTTTAGACAGTCCTTGGTGCACTGTTTGTTCCACTGATAGTATTGGTGGGAGGAATAGTGCCTCCTAACAGTGAGGCACCATTCCTCCCACTGATACCAAGGATGGGACATTATTCCCTCCAATAATGGGGCACTATTCTTCCTCCTAGTGACCGCAGGTGCTATGTAAATTTTTCCCAAAGACCACCAAGCCCAAGACACTATCTAAGCCGCTGGCCATAGTTCAGCTTCCCTAAGTCCTAAGGGCAGTTTACTTACCCTTTGTTAAGAAAGTTTGGAGAGCCCTAGCTTTGACAGAATCACATTTTCAGTCATTACACATTTTGAGGTAAGGGTTGCCCAAACGGGTGCTGGATCTAGGGGTGGAAGTCAGCAGAAATATGCCCCCCCCCCCAAATCATGGTGGGAAGGAATAGTCCGTAAGCAGTTGCTGTCTAAAACCAGCTTGTAGCATTCAGGCTTCCACAATACACTTCCCATAGGTGCCAGGCTAACAGGGTCTGAACTTTACATCTAAAGTGTTGTCTTCAAGGCACTTAGAAGAGCTTGACCATCCACAAGGCAGCCTAGGCAGGTGCCTAGAGATGGCCAAGGTGTTCAACTACAACCTTCATGCTTCTGCAGTTAACCAGAAGGATAGAGCAACTGGTCAAAGCTGTGCACCTAACAGTCCCTTCACAAACTTTAAATTACTCTCATGAGGTAGGCCATGCCACTACGCACACTAAAAACTGGACAGTTTCTCAGTGCCTACTGCATTCCTCATCAATACCTATTAAAGAGTGCAAAGAAGCTACTTCACCTACTTCCTTAATCCATCTCTGCTAGGAAAGGGCTACAACCACCTGCCAAGAAACAATTTTGCCATCAACCTGAAAAAGACCTTATTATTGCAAACAAACTTACGTAAAGTTATTTCTTTACTTTTTATTTTTTTATATACACTAGATGCCGAGCGGCCGCACATTTTTGTGCAATTAAAAAAAACATATGTGCTGAGAGCGAGTGCCCTGTGCGCTCCCAGCACACATGTCAAGTACTCACGGAAAGGTCCTGATCTCCTCTTTCGATTGGGACCTTTCCCGATCATGTGACCGCCGTGACGGCGAATCACGGCAGTCACATGACCCTAAAACCCCGCCCTGCCTCCCGGCTTCTGAAACCCTAAAAGGGCCGGGAGGCGCCGGCGCCAAGGGGTTAAGGAAAGCCAAATATTCAATTTTCTTACCTGCAACCACAGGATGCAGGAAAGAAAAAAATTGCTCGATTTCCCAATCAAAACAGTCAATGTTGATGGGAGAATTTCTCCTGCGGACCTATTGAGTTGAGTTGTCGCGGTGGGGAGCTGTCCCTGCTGGGAGAACACAACTAGGGCTAGCTGCTATAGCAGCACGCAGTAAACGCATGCTAATAATCCTACATGCTGGTTGTATCCAAATCAATCGATGGATCGACTTGGGTACACTTCAGCCTGACTATAGATGATTAAATCTTGGCCAGTTCAGCAGAGACCAGCTGATTCAATCCATCCATGGCTGACTTAATGCTTTCCTTTCAAATACAGATTTTTGCATAACCCCCCTAATGGTTTCCTGTATAGCCAGGAATGCCCTTACCATACTTGCTTATCTGCTGCTGAGATAAGCTCATTTAGTATTATTGAAGGACATTTTTGGTAAGGAGCCCATATTGCTGACACACACACTTTTGTTTTAGGTTAAATCATGGAAGGGTAGACCAAGACTAGCTCCGCTATAAATTGGAGGACAAGCTAAAAAAGCTACTACTCAGGTGATCAGTCTCAAAAATGTTCTGTGTCACTTCGTCTATTGTACAAATGCTTGTAGAATATCTGCTTTGGACATCACACTTTAAAAACCAAACCTTCATAACTGTAGGAAAAAAAAAAAAAAAAAAACAATTTAAAGCATTTACTTCTTCCCATATCCTGCATATAGGAATGCCATTACAAAGTGATTTAATTCTGTGTAAAAGTGAAATAACACTTTAAATACTAAAAAAGTAAATGGAAATTGTCTCCAGTCGGATGCATTTGGGAAAGTCACTTTCGGTGTGGCAACAAGTTTTTCCAAAATGGAATGGAATTTAAATATGAATAGAATTTTCAGATTAAAAATAAGTTAGGAATTCCATGTAGCTTCAGGTCTTCGGAGAGGTTTCACAAGGTGCCATATCACTGTTCTGAGTAACCCTAGGAGGAAAAGCTCTCCAAAGAGAACGGTGCCACTGCCACAAGGTCTGGCAGCCTGTACACGCTTAACGATTGGAAAGAAAGTACTTGAAGAATTCATATACAGACCAGGCAATGGCTGTAGAAGGCATTTGATAAATGACTCTGGCCTGCACTCCCTTGAAGTAGCCTCCTAGGCCTCCAATTTGGTATACCGTCCTTATGGCATTGGCCATACCAGACAGGTGTCCATTGATGTGAACAGAACTGAGGGCAGTGTTTTCTTGGGTGTTCAATAAGGTTTTGCACACGTCCAGTGGTGTGGTGGCAGCAGCTGCTACTGCTCCAGCAATGGCACCTGAGATGATATGCGAGCCTGGATGATACTGGCGCTGTGGGTTCAGCTGTTCCTGTGTGAATTCATAGGTGATGAAGTGAATGGCTTGGAAAGGGATGTTCATGAACAATTGGGTGGTGTAGCTGCGGTAGAAAGCTCCAACTCCTTCCGTCTTGTTTACAGAGTGAATGCAATGCAGCATGCTCCTGTAGGGGGAGTTGTACATTTGCATTCGTTGCTTGACCACTGTGGATGGAGAAAAATCCAAGATGTAATATAAGCAACAGCTAAAAACACAAGATTTACAAAAAGGCCAAAATAAAATAAATAAATGGACAGAAGAAACCCGAATAACCCTATAAATCCACTTTTTTGGCAGGCAGCAAGGGAAGGCTTTGCTCTGTTCATGACCTGTACTTGCAACTGCTATCCAACATTTCAGGGAGTGTGTTGATAGTGCCCCTTACTGTATGCTGTGGTTGCTCCTTCCAACAGCTACATCACTACAGAACACAGTATTGACACAGGGGGTCAGCAGAAGGAACTAAAATGTGCAGCAGGGGATATATTATCAGACACACTGAGAACTGTCAGAGCAGAAATTTCCCTCGCTATCCACCAAAAGGAGTGTTCCACCTTTCTTTCTTTACAAGTTATTCTGCTCCAACATCTTCCAACTAGTGAAAGTCTCATTTTAATGTTTTGGACATATTTTTCCCAACATTTTTAATGGGTATAATAGATTTTCAATAATTATACGCAATTATTGTAATATTTACTTGAAAGTAACTTTTGTTGTGACAGTCACATTTTCACTTGCTATCCTTTATACTGTATACTAAATAATTTCCTACAAAAGGTTTGTAAAACCATCCATTTATAAGTGAATATGAATAGGAACTGTTGTGTAAACGCATTCATCCTTTTAGAGAGTGTTTCCAGTCAGGTCATACCTGACCTGACCTACAGACCATCACAATGCGCATGACAAGTGAAGGACAGTCACTATCAAGCAGGAATGACAGCCTGCTTGACTAAAGTCTAAGCAATAAATAGAATATTATTTACATTAAGCTAACCAAACTAATATCTATATCAAAAAAGTACAGAAGAGAAAAAAGGCAGAAAGACCAAATTGTCCATTAAGTCCCCCACCTTTTTTAAAATCACATTTTTTATATTTGTTTTTAAATTTTTTTTAGAAGTCTTTTTAACCACTTGACCTCCGGAAGGTTTCACCCCTCTTTATGACCAGGCCATTTTCAGCACTGTGCTACTTTAACCGGCAATTATCCAACACTGTACCCAAATGAAATGTAGAACTAACACACACACACACACACACACACACACACACACACAACACACACACACACACACACACACACACCTTTGTTTTGGTGGTATTTGATCACTATTGGATTTTTTATTATAAAAACGAACATTTTGAAGAAGAAAACACCACACCAGACAATATTTTCTACTTTCTATTATCAACACATCCAATAATATCAAATTTCTTCATAAATTACTAGTATAGTTCTGATCATGATCAAAATACTGATCATCACAGTGACCTATGGTGTGACTGTGATAGTGCAGTGGGCAATCTGGCGCTGACACTAATACAGTGATAATGCTGTACACGGTCACTGTACTAATGACACTGGCTGGGTGCCAGGGCAATTGAAGGGTTAACTATGGAGGGCAATCAAGGGTTTAAAATGTGCCTAATAAGTGTATATGCACTCCTTGTATTTGCACAAAAATGTGGCTGGCTTCTCTCCCTGAATGAAAAAAAAAAAAAAAAAAAAAAAAAACTCAGACAGGATCAAACAGCCTTTTTACACAATGCAGAGGATTAATCCCTTAGGTTCCACAGTGAGTATAACAAGCATGCTTTACTGCATATACAGATTTTACCGTTGTGGGTTTTCGAACACTTTAATACTTCTGCTGCCTGCACCACTTAACATTGCTCTATTGTGCAAAAGTGGTCTGCTAAAGTCCGATGGATAACAGACACTTCCAGGAGTGTCAATTTCTGTCGTTTCCCAGCAACATTTACAGCAAGATGCAGGGATAAACTCAAGTTTTTTTTAATTTATTTTAACTTTAAAACAGGCTAGCTGGTTAGTATGCTGGAAAATTTCTTGTATTGTGATTTGTCCTGTCCACATACACCCTACTTTAAAGCTGAACTTTGAGCAAAAGAACCCTCATTTAAAAGGCTAGATTTACCTTTCAAACAAACAAAAAAAAAAAAAAAAAAAAAAAAAAAAAGGAGAGAAAAGCACATTTGCATTTTTGTTTTTTTTTTTTTTTTTACACACAGGCACGTACAAAGCATTGCACCCTCGATCATTAGACCAGGGGTGCAATGTCAGGCTTCTGCAAACTCTTCCTTCCTCTACTTGCACAAAAGACATTTCATGCTGGAAATATGTACAGATCTGGAAGAAATATACAATGGACATAATAACATACATGCCTCCTATATTTAGACAGTCTAAAAATAGGACTTCGTTTATACCAGAGTCCAGCTTTAAAAAGCGAGTTCTAAATAACTAGAGCAGTTACCAATTTTGTTTTCATCTTAAAATAATAAAAAAAAAAAAAAAACTATATATTACAATCTACTTATTTTGTCAAGAATATTTACTCATCCATCAGTTGAATTGATTAAAATCCCTTTACAATCCCATTGCCAATACATTTATGTCTGCATAGGCTCAGGATGATGTAGTGCAGCCAATCATGGAATACTTTAGCTGGATAGACGGAGGCAGGCCATGGACGATGCATCTTTCTTTCCTGCAACCACGGGTTACTCGATTTCCCCTTCAACACAGTCGGTGTTTATGTGGGAATCCCCCCGCAGAACTACTGTGTTCTCGTGGCAGGGGGAGTTCAGGGAGCCATCACTGGCAGGAGAACATAGTAATTATTGCTATAGCCACTGACAATAAATCACAAGTAAAAATAGGATATGCTGGATCGACTTGGGTACAATCAGCCTACCCATACAAGGTTCGAATCTCGGCCAGTCCCTGCTGACCCAGCCAGTTTAAAACATTGAAGAAAAAAAAAAAAAAAATTAAAATATTTAGACTTATTTCAGTCTTGTCTTAATAAACTATTACTTTTCAAATAGTTTCAGTAATGTAAACAACAGTGAGCAGTACTAATGGAAGACCAGGAAGATGAGAGCGTTAAAAATAAAAATTACCTTCAGCTGGGTTCATGACAGCATCATGCAGCACAGTTGCCAGACTTCCCGCCACCCCTGCAGGAAAACAAAGTGTTAATCAGTTCTGAATGACTGCATTGAGAAAGTCACCAGTATAAAGGATAGTCACAAGAAATGAATATAAGCATGTTAGTAAAATCACTTGTTGCCAAGTGTTGGTGTTCACTTCCAATCAGGTCATTGTCTGCATTTATCTCAATGCTGCGTTTCCTCCCTTGTCTCTTCTTAATCCAAAAGATATACAGTGAGGAAGAGAAGTATTTGAACACCCTGCGATTTTGCAAGTTCTTCCACTTAGAAATCATGGAGGGGTCTGAAATTTACATTGTAGGTGCATTCCTACTCAGAGAGAATTTAAAAAAAAAATTCAGGAAATCACATTGTATGATTTTTAAAGAATTTGTCTTGCACTGCTGAACATAAGTATGTGAACACCTGAGAAAATCAGTGTTAATATTTGGTACAGAAGCCTTTGTTTGCAATTACAGAGGTCAAACGTTTCCTGTAGTTCTTGACCAGGTTTTCACACACTGCAACAGGGATTTTGGCCCACTCAACACAGATCTACTCTAGATCTGTCAGGTTTTGGGGCTGTCGCTGAGCAAGACGGAGTTTCAGCTCCCTCCAAAGATGTTCTATTGGATTTAGGTCTGGAGACAGGCTAGGCCACTCCAGAACCTTGATATGCTTCTTACGGAGCCACTCCTTGGTTTTCCTGGCTGTGGCCCCATTCATCCTCTCCTTAATACAGTGCAGTTGTTCTGTCCCCTTCGCAGAAAAGCACACCCAAAGCATGATGTTACCACCCCCATGCTTCACAGTAGGTATGGTGTTCTTGGGATGCAACTCATCCTTTTTCCTCCAAACACGACGAGTGAAGTTTAGACCAAAATGTTCTACTTTGGTCTCATCTGACCACATGACTTTCTCCCATGCCTCCTCAGGATCATCCAGATGGTCATTGGCAAACTTCAGACGGGCCTGGACATGTGATGACTTGAGCAGGGGAACCTTCCGTGCAATGCATGATTTGAAACCATGACTGTGTAGTGTTCTACCGAAAGTGACTTTTGAAACGGTCGTCCCAGCTCTCTTCAGGTCATTGACCAGCTCCTCCCTTGTAGTTCTGGGCTGATTCCTCACCTTTCTTATCAGTGATACCCCACGAGGTGAGATCTTGCATGGAGCCCCAGTCCAAGGGAGAGACTGACAGTCGTCTTTAGCCTCTTCCATTTTCTAACAATTGCTCCAACAGTTGATCTATTTGCACCAAGCTACTTGGCAATTGCCCCATAGCCCTTTCCAGCCTTGTGGAGGTCCACAATTTTGTCTCTGGTGTCTTTTGACAGCTCTTTGGTCTTGCCCATGGTAGTAGTTGGCGTTTTACTGACTGTGGGGTGGACAGGTGTCTTTAAAGAGCTCAGACAGGTGCTACTAAGTTAGATTAATGAGTGGAGTAGAGGTGGACTTTTTAAAGGCACAGTAACAGGTCTTTGAGAGCCAGAATTCTTGCTGTTTCTTAGGTGTTCAAATACTTACAGTCATGGCCGAAATTGTTGGCACCCTTGATATTTTTCCTGAAAATCAAGTATTTCACACAAAAAAGGTATTGCATTAACACATGTTTTGCTATACACATGTTTATTCCCTTTGTATGTATTGGAACAAATATAAAACAGAGGCAGAAAAGCAAATATGACATAATGTCACACAAAACCCCAAAAATGGGCTGGACAAAAGTATTGGCACCCTTAACTTAATATTTGGTTGCACACCCTTTGGAAAACATAACTGAAATCAGTCGCTTCCTATAACCATCAATAAGCTTCTGACACCTCTCACCCGGAATTTTGGACCACTCTTCCTTTGCAAACAGCTCCAGGTCTCTCTTATTGGAAGGACACCTTTTCCCAACAGCAATTTTAAGATCTCTCCACAGGTGTTCAATGGGATTTAGATCTGGGCTCATTGCTGGCCACTTCAGAACTCTCCAGCGCTTCTTTGCCATCCATTTCTGAGTGCTTTTTGACGTATGTTTGGGGTCATTGTCCTGCTGGAAGACCCAGGATCTTGGACGCAAACCCAGCTTTCTGACACTGGGCCCTACAGTGCGACCCAAAATCCTTTGGTAATCCTCAGATTTCATGATGCCTTGCACACAGTCAAGGCACCCAGTGCCAGAGGCAGCAAAACAACCCCAAAACATCATTGAACCTCCACCATATTTTACCGTAGGTACTGTGTTTTGTTCTTTGTAGGCCTCATTCCGTTTTCGGTAAACAGTAGAATGATGTGCTTTACCGAAAAGCTCTATCTTGGTCTCATCTGTCCACAAGACGTTTTCCCAGAAGGCTTTTGGCTTACTCAAGTACATTTTGGCAAACTGTAGTCTTGCTTTTTTATGTCTCTGTGTCAGCAGTGGGGTCCTCCTGGGTCTCCTGCCATAGCGTTTCATTTCATTTAAATGTCGACGGATAGTTCGCGCTGACACTGATGCTCCCTGAGCCTGCAGGACAGCTTGAATGTCTTTGGAACATGTTTGGGGCTGCTTATCCACCATCCGGACTATTCTGCGTTGCAATCTTTCATCAATTTTCCTCATCCGTCCACGACCAGGGAGATTAGCTACAGTGCCATGGGTTGCAAACTTCTTGATAATGTTGCGCACTGTGGACAAAGGCAAATCTAGTTCTCTGGAGATGGACTTGTAACCTTGAGATTGTTGATATTTTGCCAATTTTGGTTCTCAGGTCCTCAGACAGTTCTCGTCTCCTCTTTCTGTTGTCCATGCTTTAGTGTGGCACAGACAGACACACAATGCAAAGGTTAAGTGAACGTCTCTCCTTTTTATCTGCTTTCAGGTGTGATTTCTATATTGCCCACACCTGTTACTTGCCCCAGGTGAGTTTACAGGAGCATCACATGCTTGTAACATTCTTATTTATCCGCAGTTGTGAAAGGTGCCAATACTTTTGTCCAGCCCATTTTTGGAGGTTTGTGTGACATTATGTCGAATTTGCTTTCTTTCCTCCCTTTTTTTGTTTTGTCCCAATACACACAAAGGGAATAAACATGTGTATAGCAAAACATGTGTTAATGCAATACGTTTCGTGAGAAATACATGATTTCCTGGAGAAATATCAAGGGTGCCAACAATTTCGGCCATGACTGTATGTTCAGCAGTGCAAGACAAATAAATTCTTTAAAAATCATACAATGTGATTTCCTGAATTTTTTTTTTAAATTCTGTCTCTCAGAGTGGGAATGCACCTACAATGTGAATTTCAGACCCCTCCATGATTTCTAAGTGGGAGAACTTGCAAAATCGCCGGGTGTTCAAATACTTCTGTTCCTCACTGTAAACAGATTAATATATAAAAATGTTTGTGGTGCTGATACAATGGAGAGCCAGTGACTGATGAGCTGTACATAGTGCTGGACCCTGCAAAACTAAAATCTGGATGGGGTCAGCAGATTTAGATTATCTAAGATTTCAGTCATGCAACAATTTATTAAGAAATTACCATTAGCCAAGTGACTGTTGCCAACATGGTTAATCATGGATCCTACAGTGGTTTTCATCTTCTCATAGCACGCAAAGTAGAGTGCATGTGCCGGTCCGGCTCCAAGCATGGTTACATTAATTCCCCTCAACGGGGTGAATAAGCCCTCTGTTCTGACCATCCTCTTCAGAGCCTCCATGACGCCTTTGTACTGAGCCTTGGGGTCTGGCTGCAAACTCTGCATTCTGGTCTGAAACAAGAAGGAACAATAATAAAATTAGTAAACTACTTTAAAACTACTGTAGTTCCGCATTAACGATTCAAGTTTTTAGAATTCAGGCACTCACCCGTATTTAGACAGTCAGGAAGGCTGTTAGTGCCAATAGACACTACAGTCCAGCCATGACAAGTATACATGCACATTTGGCCTGGTAAACATTTTCATGCAATGACCAATTATGCTGTTACCACTGGAAAAGAGGAAAGGGGCATGTTCAAAATAATAGCAGTGTGGAGTTCTGTTAGTGAGGTCATTCATTCTTTGAAAAACAGGTGGCAATTATTGCCCTTATTTAAGGAAGGAAGGCAGCAAATGTTGTACATGCTGGTTACAGTGCATTTCTCTCTGAAATTCTGAGGAAAATGGGTTGTTCCAGACATTGTTCAGAAGAACAGCGTACCTTGATTAAAAAGTTGATTGGAGAGGGGAAAACATATAAAGAAGTGCAGAAAATGATAGGCTGCTCAGCTAAAATGATCGCAAATGCTTTAAACTGGCAACCAAAACCTGAAAGACGTGGGAAAAAGCGAAAAACTACCATTCGAATGGATAGAGGAATAGCCAAAATGGCAAGGACTCAGCCAACAATCAGCTCCAGGAAGATCAAAGAAGGTCTAAAGTTACCTGTGAGTACTGTTACAATTAGAAGACGCTTATGTGAAGCCAAGCTATCTGCAAGAAGCCCCCGCAAAGTCCCATTGTTGAAAAAAGACATGTGCTGAAGAGGTTACAATTTGCCAAAGAGCACATTGACTGGCCTAAAGAGAAATGGCGCAACATTTTGTGGACTGATGAAAGTAAGATTGTTCTTTTTGGGTCTAGTGGCCAGAGACAGCTTGTCAGACGACCCCCAAACACTGAATTCAAGCCACAGTACACTGTGAAGACAGTGAAGCATGGTTGTGCAAGCATCATGATATGGGGATGTTTCTCATACTACGGTGTTGGGCCTATTTATCGCATACCAGGGATCATGGATCAGTTTGATTACATCAGAATACTTGAAGAGGTCATGCTGCCTTATGCTGAAGAGGAAATGCCCTTGAAATGGGTGTTCCAACAAGACAATGACCCCAAACACACCAGTAAACGTGCAACATCTTGGTTCCAGACCAACAAGATTGACGTTATGGAGTGGCCAGCCCAATCCCCGGATCTTAATCCAATAGAAAACTTGTGGGGTGACATCAAAAATGCAGTTTCTGAGGCAAAACCAAGAAATAGAGAAGAACTGTGGAATGTAGTCCAATCATCCTGGGCTGGAATACCTGTTCACAGGTGCCAGAAGTTGGTTGACTCCATGCAACACAGATGTACAGCAGTTCTCAGAAACAGTGCTTATACAACTAAATATTCATTAAGTGATTCAAAGGAAAGCAAAATCTTCAAACATTTTTCAGTTTATATAGTGAATGTTTGAGTTTGTAAAGAAGAATACAAAACACTGCTATTTTTTTGAACAGTCTAATATTCACTTTTCTTCAATTTGAACAACACAAATTTGATAAATGTTTCTTCATGTTTTGATTTGGAATAGAATGTGTAGTGTTCCCAATGCATTTGTGTGTGGAAATAAAAGCTATTAGAAGGATTTTGAGCTTTATTCACTTTTTTAACCACACTTATTTTGAACACAATTGTACTTCCCAAAGCCTGACTAAAAAAAAAAAAAAAAACTCAGAGATCGTGGTGTCCTGCTTTGTTTCTTGGACTTTTCTTTAGGACACTCCCAGCTTTTACTGTTCACCTCTACCAACAAAAAGAGTGAGCTCTTTCACAGATTCAAATTCTAGCACATGTGCTCTCTCTCTTTCTACGGCGTACGACGTCAGCAAGACAGTAATCACCTTGGATCAGAGCTGCAGTTTGTTTTTATCTACAGACACCCCTTACCTCTATAGGCAGTTTTTTTTTTTTTCCGTAAAGGTGAACTATGCCTTTAGAATATGGTTCCTTCCATGAAACCCTAAGCAGGTTGCTATGCCTCCAGTTTATGCCTCCTATAAGTTCCCACAGACATCGTTGATCTTTTTAGCGATCCATAAGGGGGAATTCTTCCCAATGACTACAAGTGTAAGGAGCACTCCTTCCACCAATCACACGAATGTATCATGAGTTGCAGGGGTGTGGAAATTTTTTAAAAAAACTACTTTTCCAGGGACAAAATTGTGTCCCAATCTACTTGTCCTATTCAAAAAAAAAAAAAGTCAATTTTAACCAAAACTGTATTTAAATCTGGGAGGTGCTGTTAGGAATGTCTGGGACTTTTAAAATCAAAATGGGCTTTATGGCGACTTAAACGTTTAATTTTTTTAACATTGCGCCGTTTTATCTCCTCCTCTGTCTCCAGCACCGCACTCGGGAACAGGGAGCAGAGAGACCTTGCAGTATAATGGAGCACCGATTGGGTGCTTGTCAGGATAGCGAAGTGTTGGGCTTATCCTTTGTCCCTTTCGCTGCCAGAGTCATTTCTGCGTTTTTTGCACACGCTTAAAAAAAGCATTTTAGGCTTGAAGATTACACAAAACCCCCAAACATTATATATTTTCTGAAATCAGAGAACCTAGAGAATAAAATAGCAGTAGTTCCAATTTATGTTGCATATTACTGTAAAGGTAAAATTTCAGTAAAAAATACACAAAATTAATTTTAGGGCACAAAAAAAAAAAAAAAAAAGCAATAAAATTACCCTATTTTATTGTAAAATATAAAAGATGAGGTTCCACCGGGTAAATATATATCCAACATGTCAAACCTTAAATTTGCATGTGCTCGTGAAATGGCGACAAACTTCAGTGCCCTATATATTTTTTTTTTTTTTTATAGGCAACCCATTTAAAGCCCCTTATAGGTCATCAGTATAGTGTACAGAGGAGGTCTGGTGCTAGAATTATTGCTCTCATTCTGGCATGCGTGGCAATATGTAACATGTGTATCGCAGGGTGGATAAAAATCAATGATTGTTTAAAAAGAAAAAAAAAAAAGAAAAAAAAATCTGATTTTTTTTATTTAAATCGGATTTTTTTTAAATAAAACGCTTTTTGGAGGGAAATATATTACCATCCAAAGGTTATTCCATCATGAAATAAAGATTAGTTTTTTAATTATGTAGAATAAGGCTGTATATGTTTAATTTTTTTGGTAAATAAATTCCATTAATCCATTCACAATGTCATGCTCTTCCAGAGGTTTTTGTAAGATTATTGGGCAGTTTCTCTGCCTACAAGATATTATCACAGATGTTGGTTTACTTTTGCAGTTCTCAAAACTGAATTTGACTCAGCGGAGATCACATGCCTCTTCTTCACAGCAAAAATGTTATAACATGAACAGAGTTAAGAAAAAAGACCTTAATCCTAACTTCTACAAACCTATGAATACAGAATCAACCCCTTCAGTGCTAAGTTTCAAGAAGTTCAGTGAATAGATCTGCACAAGAAGAAAGTGAAACTAATGCAGGCCATAGATGGGGAGAAAAACGGCAGATTTTCGGCCGATTAACGAACTATCGGTCGGTCTAAAAAACTTACCTGACCACCAATTATTACGAAAATCGGCCGATTAATGAGTAACCTATAACGGGAAATGATGTCATTTTGTGGCCTTTGTGATCCTTTTTCGGAAAACGATCGTTCGTTTTTGACCATCAATGAGGATAAAGTCGAGCGTTTTTTGAAAATTTTCCAACATCACCGATAATCTGAAAGTCCAAAATACACGAAAAACGGCCGACAAAATCGTCCACTAACGATAAGATAATCGGCCGGTTTTATTTTCGGACGAAAAATCGGCCGTTTTTCTCCCCATCTATGGCCTGCATAAGTGTGAGGAGGAAGGGGCTGACAGTCTAAGTTTCTAAAAAATATATATATATTTTGTTTAGCCAAATTAGTTAACAAACATGGATGTTTGTTTAAGCAAATAACATATTCTGTAATGTTATTGTTTCAGTTGAATAAATCTATTTAAATTGTTATTATTAAAAAGGTAATTATTTTTCTCCTTCCTAAGTACAACAGAAAAGTTGTTCAAATACGAATGATTAACCTATTAAACTGGGGATAAAAAAAACGAATATGAAAAGTTGTTCTAAAAATCTTCATCTACTTGCATATTAAAGTTATACCAGCAAAAATTAGTCTTTATGTAGAAAACTATGATTTAAATCAAGCCTTACTGACTAGTGATTTAAATCAGTTTGATTTAAATCAAATCCACCCTGGTGTATCACATTCCACATCTTCATGCGTAGCAGCCCCGGTGTGTGCTTTTACTTTTATATGTGCTTATATGTGGGGGCTCAATTTTTTTTGAGGGGATGTTATATGCTTGGGTGCAACTTTGATTTTTTAAAAAAAAAAAAAAAAAAAAAAAAAAATTCTATTTAACAAAAAGTCCCCTATGTGATTATTTTTTGGTGATAGGGTTTTCTTTAATGAGACATGCAGTGTCTAAAAGACTCTGCATGTCTCCCCTGTGCATAGCTGAATGTAATGCAGTGCACATCGTACTGCATTACATCTTCGAGAATCTGTGAATGGGGACCTGAAAGTGACATGAGTTGTAGAAATGGTCATTGTTAGCAGGGGTTCCCGGAGGCTGTAAAGTTATTTCAAGGGTTCTTCTGTTGTTGAAAAGGTTGAGAAAGGCTGCTTTAGAGTAATAGGCTGGATCAAGCAATGATCACTAAACATTTATACAATAGATACCTTCAGCTAAACTCATATACAGTTAGGTCCATATATATTTGGACACAGGCCCAATTTTTGTTTTTTTTTCAGGTATTTACGAAAACATATTCAAGCTATAGATGTATAACGGATGTGGGCTGAAAGTGTACACTCAGGTTTAAGGGTATGTACATCCAAATTGGAGAACGGGTTTAGGAATTACAGCTCTTAAGGGTAGCCATCCCCCCTTTTTCAAGGGACCAAAAAGTAACTGAAAAATTGAATATAGTGATA